GTTTGTTTGATTGTATGTTTATTTGATTGTGTGTTTGTTTGATTGTGTGTTTGTTTGATTGTATGTGTATTTGATTGTATGTTTGTTTGATTATATGTGTATTTGATTGTGTGTATATTTGATTGGGTGTTTATTTTATTGTATGTGTATTTGGTTGTATGTTTGTTTGATTGTGTGTTAATTTGATTGTATGTGTATTTGATTGTATGTTTGATTGATTGTATGTTTGTTTGATTGTATGTGTATTTGATTGTGTGTTTATTTGATTGTATGTGTATTTGATTGTGTGTTTATTTGATTGTATGTTTATTTGATTGTGTGTTTGTTTGATTGTATGTTTGTTTGATTGTATGTTTATTGGATTGCATGTTTGTTTGATTGTGTGTTTATTTGATTATATGTTTATTTGATTGTATGTGTATTTGATTGTATGTTTGTTTGATTGTGTGTTTGTTTGATTGTATGTTTATTTGATTTTGTGTTTGTTTGATTGTATGTTTGTTTGATTAAATGTTTATTGGATTGTATGTTTTGTACTGGTGTTGTGGGTTTGTTTCCTAAGCGTGAACACCTTCCCGATAACAAGGAGCTGATTTAGGAGTTCATATGTAACTCGCGGAACATCGATCAAAAGGGCTGACGAACGACAGCAAATTACCTGCAAATTTGACCTAAGGTTTCGGCGATTGAAAACGCTATCAAGTCTAACAATGCATACTGTCAATAAGCCGTTTTCCGGCATAGCTGTAACTAAGGAAAAACAATTCTAAACAGAAGACTACACCTTGCAGGACCTTTATAGAAGTAAAAGAGATAAATAAAACACTGGACATCAAATTGGTATACTGTTGCTATACTATATTGGGCTATCTGGGCTGCGAAAGTGTCCAGGCTCAATCACGCTATAGATATATCTGAAACGATATCATTAGAATGCTACTGTATTTACAAAAGCTACAGTTTAATTATCTGGTGTATTTCATGTAAAGGAACAAATATCCTTGAGTGCAATTTGAAGCAGTGAACATTCCATTGAGTTATCCGATAATATATCTCCAAGTTTTAAATTATTGTCGCTTTATACAGTACACTTATCTCGATTTTTTCGTTGTCTATATTGAGTGAGACGATTCAAATACTGCCCTTAAAATTCCACGTCAATGCTCTTTGCTCATTAATGAATGTTCATTAATGATCGGAGAGTATTACAGTGGTTAATGAAGCTGAAAGCTTCTTAATTAGCAAGGGACGGAATTTAATTACATTTTTTATCATGCGTTGATAAGCCGCTTATGTGTTCACGTAACATTTAATCGAGATGTAACATTTCCCCGAAGTGTAATCATTGTACCACACAGTGATCTGGGTTTTATAGGCAAATATATACAAAATAACCAAAACCCGCAGGTCGATTGCAAAATGTAAAGACATTTTTAATTGGACCTCTGGCAATATTGGTCCTCGGCTCTCGTATTTTTTTCCAATCAACGGTGATGACACGAAATTAACAAATTTTAATTAGTGCTTATGAACGATGCTTCAAGTTTTATTTTACACTCACGCCACACGTGTACGTGCGTAGCAAGAGGTCACATATTACATAATATATACATTGATGGATTAGTACACACATAATATAATAAATAATATCTTTTATTTATCCAGGGTTACATATTTAGACAATGTCTAGTTTACAATATGGCCCTGCATTAATACATATATACAAGCATGACAACAATTTTAGCATAATAATAGGATGATATGTTACATAAAATAGAATTACAACATTACGAACAGTATATTTAATATCATAGATCAGACAAATCAGGGTTTTGTAAAGTAATGATCCAGATATCTGCCTTTAAAAACACTAACACTACATGAATCTCTAACTGTGTCACTTGTTTCGTTCCATAACACTGAACATGTATATGCAAATGATCTCTTAAAATACGTGGTTCTGGCTGCTGGAACATACAGTTTATTTGTTACAGAAGCTCTAGTAGTTCTTACAACAACATTTCTAACATAGGAAAACATATTATCTAACATCCCCGGGGATTCACAGTGTAGAATTTTGTAAGAAAGAACCATTTTTCTAAAAACATAAAAATCTGCTATTGGCATCCATCGCAATTTTTCAAAAAGAGACCTGGATGCAGTAAGAATGTCACTAACTTTTAATAAGATCCTAGCTGCTCTCTTTTGTAATTTAAAAATCTTATCCGTATATAATTTGTTGCTAGGTTCGCTCCAGACAGTTGAACAATACATAAAATGAGGAAAAACAATACTGTTATAAACTTTTTTGATAACATCATTTGACATGAAAGACCTAAGTCTTCTCAACACACCAATCTTTTTGGATATTTTCTTTGATGCATACTCTATATGCTCTTTCCATGAGAGACGACTATCGATAAGTTTTGCACATTTAACTGTTTCAATATGACACATGATACAATTTATACAATAACAACCCATTTCAATAATTCTTTTAGCTAACTTTTTTTTAGATATCAAGAAGCTACATTTCTCTTTGTATAAATTTACTTACTTTTGTTAAAAGTACCGTGTTACATATTGAGAACATTCCTTTCATTTTGATATAAGTTGACATAATTATAGTTTGGTATATAAAGTTGTCTAAGAGCTACAACAGATACATTAGTACATTGGTATAAATAGTGGTATTCGTTCCCAACACAGTTATTACATAGGGGACATAACCTGATATTTGAAAAGTCCATAAATGATTAAATCCAGTATTGTTTAAAATATCTCGTATATACGTTAACCATTTAAAACTTAATACAGAATTCTGGTGCAAATTATATGCTAACTTATACATTACACTAGATAATTTCTATCCACCAGTTATAAGCTTATGCCAGAGCATAACCCTTCTAATACTGATTTCAATTTCTAGCGGATACCTTCCCAACTCACCATATAACATATAATTTGGGGTGCTCTTCCGAATGTTAAGAATTTCCTTACAAAACTGTAAATGTATTTTTTCGATACTTTTTGTATTGTTACATCCATATAATAAAATAGGTGACACAAGTGCATCAAATAATTTCAGTTGAAGATCTACAGGAATGGAAACATTTCTAATCTTAATATACAATGCATATAAAGCTTTTTTTTGCTTGCTCTGTTAGTTTACTTTTGGCTTTTGTAAAAACATCATTGTAGTTTGATATTATTTCAAGATATGGGTACGAATCTTGTATTTTTAAAATCTCATTATTGAACGAAAAGTGATGGTCTCTTTTACTTTTTCTTGTTTCTTTTGTGTATTTACTGTTAATTTCCATTATTACAATAATTTTGGAATTCATTCAATGCGTTCTGTAGACCATCTGGTGTTTCTGACAAAAGCACTGTATCATCAGCATATAATATAATAAACAATTTTAAGTACGAACCTAAATTTTGATCACTAAGAGCATACACTTCATTCAAACAAGAAACATTACGTTGATTGAGGAAATCCTCTAGATCGTTAAGAAAGAGGGAAAACAAAAATGGCGATAAGTTTTCCCCTTGTTTTACCCCGACATTGCACATGATTTGGTATTTTGATATAAATCATAAAGGACTTTAAATATTTTGCCCGTAATGTTACTATTTTGTAATTTTCTCCACAAGCCTGCTCGCCACACTGTATCAAAGGCCTTTTTAAAATCAACGAATGAACAATATTACATGTACTTTTTACCATTTGAAAAAAATAAAGAAATTAGGGAATGCAATATAAAAATGTTTTCAGTAGTGGGTATCCCTTTCGAAATCCCGCTTCGGCGGAGGATATGTTGGTCTACCACTAATTATAGAGGTAAATACTTTTCCCAGGCATGACACCAGAGATATCGCCCTATAATTATCCGGATCGCCCTGGTCTCCTTTATTTTTGTATATAGGTTTAATAATACCAACTGTCCATTCTTGGGGTACTAACCCAGTGTTGAGAATTCTGTTGAAAAAATCTGTATATAGAGGCAAGAACTGATTGAGAGTATTTTTATATATTCATTCCGTATTTCATCGATTCCGCTCGCTGTATTATCTTTTAAGCTTTCTATTGATCGAATAATTTCCGTTTCGGTAATTTCAGCATTGAGATCTTAGAGACTTCATCGCTATCAATATCTTGTAGAAGTCCTTCATCAATATCTTCCTCATAGCTAGTTTTTTTATTTTAATTACAATGTAGTTGTATAGTTCGTTTATTGGTATATTAGCTTTTGACGATTTGTATTAACCCGAAACCCTATTTAGAATATTCCATAGGAATTTTGGACTCTCCTTTACTGAATCTGTTTTCTTTTCCATGTTGAATATATATGTTTTGTATGCTTTATTTACCCCTTCCTGTAATTACGACTTTTCCGTTTCAAGTCGTGCTTGTTTACATCATTTTTTAGTTTACGATAGTTCTGTTTGGCTTTGTGAAATTCTTTTCGAAGCTTTTTACAATTTGATGTAAACCATGGTTTATCATTTTTATGAATGTTTCCGCGGTAAATAGATTTGCGACCGAATGACTATACTATGACGTAGTAAGTATATCTGTGATATTTTTAGTTACATCATTAATATCTACATGAGTTATTTGGTCGGTTTCCTTAGCTTTCAAATTTTTAACATACTCGTTCAGCGTAGCAAGTTTATTATCATGATCATCTGCAATAAGATTAGTAAACGAGAATTACTTAATTGATCCTTCCATTTCACGTAACCACCGTTTTTGTCGGTTGCATAAGGATTTTCGTATAGAGTATGTATGTGTTCTGATGCCCCTTCGAACTTAAATTCAATACAACCATGAACATCGGATAATAGTGGATTAAAATCAACAACTTCAAAATATGTTACTACTTTGAATAAGTCGCAGTTAAATAAATCTATATTTTTTAGTAGTTTCTGGGATATTCTAATCCATTGTACAAACTCAGACTCGGTAGTGATAAATTGGTTTGATCACGTAGTGTCCCGAGTGAGCTGACCGCTGTTTGTGTTGTGGTAACTTTTTCTCTAAATACGGATATTAATGGAATGTTTTCTTAATTCTGAAGCCAAGTAAGTGTGTATGGAGAACTTTGTGATGTATACGAAACAAACATTATTCATTCGCTAGCTTGAATATTGACAAAATTTGTGATTTGTGTACCTGAGTATAGGGCGACCTGTTTCTAAATATAGCAACGCCATTATCGAGTATTGAACAGTGGACGCACATACCTTTATCGATACGGAAGGCAAGAGGTATACGATGAACGTGTCGAAGGACGATACATGTTTACTTTTCACCCCAGAGCAGGCCTTAGCTTTCGCAACCCCAGTTAGCGAACATTTGAAAGACAAGCGGAAACAAATGTCCAGTCCGCGGTCTCCCGATATAGTAGAAAACAATTACAAGCGTCCCGACTTGGGAACGANACCATAGCAACAATGGTCTCTAATTTAATCGAACAGTCGCTTACTCACACCATCCAGCCCCTCATACAAAGTGCTGTGAATACTGCCATTCACAACGATAACCAACTAAGCGGTATTATCACCAAACATGTTAATGCGGAGGTAACTCCTCTTATCGAAGTTATAAAAACTCAAGCATCAGAGTTGAAAGAACTCAAAACGGAGATAGGCGAACTCCAAACGGCATTAGAAGACCAGCAGCAGTACTCCAGACGTACCGCTCTGAAGTTTCATAATGTCCCTATCCCCGGGGGAGATATTTCGTCCTTTGACACTCATGATGCAGTCGTCAACATTGCCCGAGCAATCAAAGTCATCATTACTCGCGACGATTTGTCCAGGTCCCATATTCTTGGAGGAGTAAGGAACGGTACGTCTACGATCATCGCGCGTTTCGTCCGATATACTGACCGGCATAAGGTCTTTCGGAACAAAAAACTTTGTAAACACCTCGCAGACAAAATCTTCATAACGGAAAGCTTAACCAAACCTAGATCAGCCCTTGTCGGCCGGCTCAACAAACTTCGACAGGACAACTACATAAATTCCCTATGAACGATGGATGGACGATTTTTTTTACAAAACTGGCGAAACCACAGAAAAAAATTCTTATCAAGTCGGAGGCATGTGTGCGAGCACTCGAGGCAAAGTATCGCCCACGTTCTGTTGAAAACACATCATCCCCCATGGTATCGACCTCCTCAGCTTCCTAGGATTCCTATGACCCGTAACCAGTTCCAATGATGATTACGTGAAGGACCGGAACTGTGTAAAATACCAAGATTTTTTTGTAGATTATAAACCTTTTGTATATGTAATCAACATGTAAAAATATGTAAAAAAAAAGTCAGAGTCAGTGATTTTGGTTGTTGTGAACATATCAAGCTGCACTTGTGTTAAAACACTGAATCAGTACAAAGCATACATCAGACATCTCTGCTATGATGCGATATTGATACGGTCTCCATCACGTGTCTTCAATCTATGTATCAGTAATGCATAATCGTAAAACTTGCGCTGATATGCTGCTTTTGAATGCTGGTGCGTGTTATTTACTATCATATACTCAAGATTACTACACAATAAACACGTACTATGGACTGTCGTATACAAACCGCCCGAATGTCAGAAGACCTGCCGGTATGCTTCCGCTCATCCTCGATGTTCAGGGGTTACGCTCAATTTCGCTGCGTAGAGCGCGAAGGTTTGGCGTAACCCCTGGATATCGAGGACGGTTTCTGCTGTATTTAGATAATTGATGTAAATTCGTGTTTTTTGTTTTGTTTTAGTGGTCGGCCTGTTTTATTTATTTTATTGCTTTTTTTTTTTGGATATACTTAAATTCCTGGCTATATAGTCTATGAATATAAATAATTAGATGTCTAATCGCTTCAGAACTGGGCAAATCCATTTTCTGATATGCAAATATTATAGATTACTTGTTGTAAAAACATCAAGGGGTACGTTGAAGACATGCTAACGGTACTTGGGAACGCGTACATTTTTACGTCAGCTCATATAGTTCGACACATCGTGCATACTGTATCAGCCAATATATGAATGCATTCTTCGAATCATGATTAGAGGCCATGGCAGTTTTCAAATAAGTGCATAAAACTAGATATGATGGTGCGTGCATATGGGCCTGCTTGATTATTTAGTACCTGCTTTGTTTGACATTTTACACATGTATATGAGCAAACCCATCTCCACTGTGGGAATGTTAGATATAGATTAATTATTGTATAAACACACCAGCGCTTTCAATATCAGTTCCATATTAAGCTGCATTTGCGCAATCCAAATTATATTATTTTGGTATTGGACAGCTGTAATTTTTGGTGTTGGTGCAAAAACCGTTTAGTTTCCGTCGTCGTTACAATGCCAGAGGCTTCTTTATTTTTTCTCTCTCTCTAACGGTGTGTTTTCGTTTGTCTATTTGTTTTTGTTCTTCCCGAACATAAAACCCCATGTGTACAAATTTCCAGAGTCATAGATAATGTTTGCTTATAAATTACACTAATATGTATATACACATGCATGTCATGGAATGTGTGTGTGAAGGTGTGTGTGTGTTGATATCCACATGTATATCATATATTTGTATTAGTATGTGTATGAAGGTACTAGGATGTGTGTGAATGTTCATACAAATGTTTGTTTATACATTCGTGTGCATATGGGTTTATATTTACTTATAATCTATTTCTTGTACGAAAATAGTTTTCATACCACAAATGAATATGCTGTTTTTCATGCCTTGTACAGATATGTCTACAATATCTTTTAAACTCGGACCTTTCATGAATTCATGAATACGTACGCGTGCAAATTCTCTGACGGCTCCTTCGTGTTTATATTCGGGCTAACATCAAATCTTATCCGATTTACATTCGTGTCCATAAATGCCCCTTCACATTTGAATTTATTTTTACACACGATCGCTTTCGTGTTTTTTCATAGTACATGTACATGCACTTGTGTCCATTCGTGTATACAAACGCCTTTACATACATGTGGTCACTCATGTTACATTTTTGTATCTACATTCGTGTCGGCATTCACGTATGATAGTTTGAGTTGATGCTCATTCATGATTTCATTGCTGTACATATTTTTGTCATCCTTTTTGTTACAATATATATGGCCATATGTGTTTATACTCATGTTAAAATTAACGTCATCTGTCTGACGTATACAGGTTTTCCATATCATGTGATACGACTAGTAATTTTTCCAGCGTCATATTTCTATTGATCACCCGCAAACACATTACTACAATGTCATTATTGTTTTTTCGATGTTGTGTAACTGTGTCAAATGTGTATATATTTTTCCCTACCTCTTGTCTTTCATTCTCCACTCTTTGCCCCCTCGCTCTTACCTTTTAGTTATCCTGGTTATCTGACAGTCGTACATGTAACAATAACAGAACTATCCGTTAGCAGTCTCCATGTCCCTATTTCGTACTTTTTCTTTCCCCCATGACAGGGTGCTCATTATCCACATGGAGATGTGCTATCGGACTATATTACTCTAAACAAACCCATTTAAACAAAACGTACAGATTCAACAACAACACTTATTCCTATTACGATATATTTAAGCTACATTTCATATATTTGCGTATAGCAGTTGTTTTTCTTGTTTTTCTACAGACATATAGCAACCCAAACAACATCACCCTTGTCTTAATCTTAATCTTACTTTTGTCAGGGGACATACACACAAATCCAGGACCAGCAGACAGTTTTTCTTCATCTAACGACTCCGACTCCGACAATATATCCTTTTCTGTTTCTGACGATAACTCATTAAAAATCATGCACTTGAATATTCGTAGCGTTAGAAATAAAATTGTTTTTCTTGAGAGTTTTACCGATGACGTAGACATATTGTGCCTAACAGAAACACATCTCGATCCTTTTATCCCTGATTCTGACCTTCTTCTTACTAACTTCTCAACACTATTTAGAAAAGACAGGAACGCTTTTGGTGGCGGTGTTATGGTTTTTTGCAACTAAAGACATACTGCCTAAACGCAGACTTGATATTGAATCACCAAATGACGAAATAATTTGGATTGAATTTTGTACCGATAATAAGAAATATCTTCTATGTGTACTATCCAAACCTCCATGGCAAAATACTAACTCTGGAATTTGGACTCGACTGAAACATTCTTTTGACATATCTTTTGACAACACTCCTCATGTTATATTAACAGGGGATACTAACATTGACTTATTCACAGGAAATAACAATGATCTAGCATTCTAACACAGCAATATAATCTAACTAACCTGATTACCAGTCCAACTAAAATAACAAATACTACACAATCCCTTATAGACCCATTTTACATCAGTGGTACTATATCCTCCGAATCATCCATTGTTGTACCAGTTTTAGAAGCTATAAGTGACCACAGAGCTATGCTTGTGTCACTGTTATCCTGTCTACCAAAACCAAAGTCTTTTAAGAGGAAAATATGGTTATACAACAGAGCAGATATTTTAAATCTTAAAACAGAGGTAGGACAGGTAAATTGGATAGATTTGTTTTCTTATGCAGATAATGTAAGCGAAAAATGTAAACTGTTCACTGACAAAATAATTTCTGTTTTAGAAAAACATATTCCTAAAACAATTGTAACTGTAAATAAAAACGACAAACCATGGATGAACGGAGATATAAGAAAAGAAAGTAAACGTAGAAACAGGTTAAGGAAACATTTCATCAGAGTTAAAACCCCATTGTCTGAAGCTAAATTTAAACGTGCACGAAACAAAGTAAATAATATGCTTAAACAGGCAAGAGCACTTTTTTTATACAAATGTAGATGGACTTATCAATGATAGTTCAGCTAATCCCAAAGCATACTGGAAACTAATGCGTATGCTTTTAAAAGGTAACATTTCTACCGATATACCTCCCTTACTAAACCCTACAAATAACCGCTTAACCACAGACGACTATGACAAATCCAATATTCTAAATAACTTCTTTAAATCTGTTTCTGACCTTGATGACCATAACGACGATACACCCTATTTTGACAACCAAACAGACGCGTCCCTTACTGAAATTGTAATAACAGA